TTGTATTAAGTGTTGTACTCGAAGGATCAGTTAGGTTCCTTTTTAAAAGTAGTCTTATGTATTGTTTGAATGCTCTTTGTTGGGTGGAGATAATCTTTTCAACTCTCTGTTGGAGAGAGTAATGTATGCACACTACTACACATATATGTACACTAGCTACTTGTTTTAGGGACCGTTTGGCGCAGCTCGTGATGGCTTCGGCTCCCTCTGCCACGGCACTGTACCGCCTTGTAGGATCCTGTGCATCGCTGTAGCTCTTCGAAAATCAGCTCTGGCTCCGCCTGTGAACACCCGCAATCGAAGAGGAGCCGTCGGAGCTGCGTTGGTGCGGCTCCGCCGGGCTCTGCCACAGTGCTTGTACAGGACTGCTAGAGCCGGAGCTGAGCGGAGCCTGGCCAAACAGGCCCTGTTATACTCTTTAAATAACATGATTTCTGCTAAGCCTACCTTTGGTCATATGTGTGAGAGAGATGCATGGTACGGTCTTAAACTTTGTACTCCATATTATATATTGTATATTCTGTTCCTGCCAAAGTGATTGTTATATATTAATAGGTACGGTTGTAGCACTAAGCCATCCATGCACATATATATATCAACCTGCAGCTCAAGCAAGCTGCAAATAAAATACATTCGGCAGGGAGCTGATGAGTCAGATGACAGATGTAAGTTGAAGAACCAGCAACTTGCTGTGTGTATTTCTTAATAATGTCTCGATTGGTGATCTGATGCTGATTCCTCTTTGGTTGTAAACTCTTTTTTACTTGTTAATAATTCTCTGATCCAGTTGATGATGGAGATTAAATAAAGCCAGTTGGCAGTCTAACTTAACTAGTAGTAGTACGATAGTAGATCCGGGTTGGCCGGCGTTAGTAAATTATAATTTCATATATGTGCAATAAGTTGTTAATATATATGGCAGCTACAAAATACAAACAAGTAGTGTCCTCTTAGCTAGGCTTTGTTTGATTTAGCTTTGAAGTGTGGAAAAACTATCGTGAACTATAAGCCATGGAAAAGTTGTGATGAGCTATGTCTGCTGTGAAAAAAGTTGTAAGTTATTTGATTGAAACATCTATGAAACCTATCCCCTCTGTTCATCTCCCTTGAAATAGTTGTAAATCATATTTTTATTTGCACCAATTTAGAAAAACAGAAAGTCAAAAGCGAAAAGCAAAACCTAAAGTGCTGCGAAAATCATATTACATATATGAAAGAAATCGCTTATAGAAAAAGCAGCTTCAGATTCCACCTGTTTGATTATCGTTCAGGCTGAACCAAACACAACCTTAAAGTACTTTATATAGTATATATATAGAGAGAGAGCGCGTTGTCAAGAGACATGGATGCAGCCAAAAGGTAAATCACTCTATGCATATATGTATTAGGGTGTTATGCTTGTTAACCTCGGTTGACACGACGTGATAGCTAGACGAGAGGCCAGCAGCAACCTACAATTGGATGTAGTAGAGCTAACATGCATTTCAGTTGACAGAGACGCGGCACTAATAGCAGTAGTGAACAGTGAGGCACAATCCATCTGTATGTCGGCATCGCCTGCCTGCTGTCACTCTCAAAATTGCTTGCTCTACATATATACTTCGTCACTGGATTCACACGTGTACCACTATGTTTGGTCGAGTGATATTATCCTCGTGAAAATTTGTTCAGGTTTGGAAGTAAGGAGGAGGGGACCAAATCCTGAGAAAATCGAATTGATGAAATCCTTCATCTAAGAAATACACAATTATTTGAAGAAAAATATTTATGTCGCTAATAATGGTAGGCCCAAATGGATCCTCCACACGTCAATCCTCACTGGATGCGCTATACGAGAAAAAAAAGATATGTTGTAAAGTTTTCATAAAAATTATTAAATATCCGAGTAGCCCCTAAATTTGTATCAAAATTACTCTCTCTAACATTATATCTAATAAAGTTATCCACCTCTTCCATTTTAATGTATAATATAAGAAATGTTTAAGTTTGCATCTAAATTATCCATATATGTCATTACAAAAATAAACTAAAGTATATATCCTCTCAAAGCTACATCAAAACCACCAATATATACTATTCTAAATAATTATAACCACGAAATATGCCTATATATGTATTCTAAATCACGCACATCTACCACTCTCAAATTATAAAAACCAAACGTATTTCTCTATGAGTTAAAACTAACTCAAAGAAAAGATACATGCGGCACAATTCTACATGCATGCATGAGAGATAAATATATCTGCAACTTAACAATCCTAAAGATACCCCCTTAACAAATCATAAAATGGTGACACTCAAAATTTATTTGTAATTGTATTAATCCTCCATGACAATAAATTATCTAAGCTTTATTTTTGATAAATTTCTTCATTTTGACCAAAACATTCAACACATATGCATTTATATAGTTTAATTGTGAGCATCCTATTTTTTTTATAAAAACGCTACTACACACATAATTCTTTGATAGAGGCAATTTAATATCTTGAACATCATAGTGCATGCAAAAGCGATTATTAATGCCGTTGTAATAACTAAAAGTATTATCGAGGAAGTAGAACCGGTCTTGTTTTAGTAGCATACAAAAGGAGACTTTTGAATAAAAGGTACAATATGTAGTATAGTTTGAATTTAAGTACTTAACACGTGGATCGGATAAGAAAATTGCAAAAACTAGTAAGATGAATGTTTGTAAACCCAAATCTAGACTTATGATGTCACAACATATGGGATACAACAAGAGGTAACATAACTTAAGCTAAGGATTTATTATGTAAACAGGTACTAAAGATACACAAAGATGTGATGCAAAGAGGGGGGGAATATGAATATGGATGGAAAAAGCATATAGATTAATTAGTAAATTCTTTACAATTGGATATAGATTACAAAATATTGATATGACCATTATGTTAGAAAATGAGCAGAGGGAGAACACAAAGATAAGCAATTTTTATTGGTTGCAGCATGTAGATACCAATTTTATCCTAAACTAATACTTATGTCTCATAAAATTTTATTCGCTGTTGGACGTAGGTTGATGGATTAGTAATATGAATGTATGGATGGAACTGATTAATTTGCTAACATTTCATGGCTTGTGACAATGGCGAATCATTTTTCTAAAAAAAAATCTTAAGTTCATGCAAACGTCCTGGGCCATGTACCAGCGTACTAAGGCCCTTTAGTATGAAATCAGTGTATTCAGCTCAAATCGGATCGGACGAGAAACGTCCTGGGCTTCTCGAAGGTCCATGCAATAAGCACTTTTCCAGCCCATCCAATTTTTTGAAAGGATCCCACGCCATCCAAATGAAGTGATTAGTTTGCTAACGGCCTTTAATCTCCGAAGCCCATTACTGCAGGTATTGGGCTTTGAGCCCACTTCTGCAACTACTGGGCTTTAATTAACCCATCATAACAGTAGAAAGGAAGCCTGCGACCCATCTCTCGTCGTGGGAGGCAAGAGAGATCACACGCGCACGCACACTCGCATCCCAGGCAGAACCCTTGCCGCCGCCGCCGATGACGTCCGTGCGCAGCTCCGCCGCGTCGCTAGCCCCGTCGATCCGCGGGGCGGCGGAGCTGGTCCGCCAGGAGGCGCTCCGGCGCGAGCTCGATGGGTGCCAGCTGCTGGCGGGCATCTGGTGCCACGGGTTCACGGTGGCGCAGCTGCGGAGCATCCGCGCGTCGCTGCCCCCCACGGCGCGGCTGGTGGTGACCAAGAACTCGGACATGGCGGCGGCCGTGGCGGGCACCCGGTGGGAGGCGCTCAGGCCCTGCGCGCGGGGCATGAACGCGTGGCTCTTCGTGCGCTCCGACGAGATCCCGCCCGCGCTCAAGCCCTACCGCGACTTCCAGAAGGAGTGGAAGCTGCAGCTCAACGACTTCACCGGCGCCGTCTACGAGGGCCGACTCTACGGGCCCGACGACTTCGCGCAGCTCGAGGCCATGCCCACCAGGGTGCAGTCCTACCAGTACCTCCTCGGATGCCTGCAGATGCCCGCCGTCAACGTTCTCGCCGTCCTACGAGCGCGGCAGGAGGCGCTTGCAGCGGACGCCGACAAGCCGCCCGCCGAGGGAGAGGCGGCGGCTGCGGCACCGGTGGCGGCTGAGGAGAAGTGACCCGTCGACGAGGTTTTTTGGCGTTCGTCTCACTCTGCCTCTGCGTTCTTGTATGTTTTTGCAGCTGTGGCTTGGCTTAAAGGAAGCTCCTTTTTTCCGTTCCTCTTGCGCAAATTTGTTCAGTTCGGGATATATGTAGTAGAAAAACTGATGTGTCATAACGGCACATTGCTATCATGTTCATGAACTCCATTCTGGAAGTTGGAGTGATGTTGAATTGCCATTTCTGGTTCAGAAACCAGACACCAAAAGAATTTGCCATGTGCAGTTCTCCGCTGTTCACTAGGGACTAGTGAGTGTCCTATGCTGGTGCATTCAGTTGAAAATTAAGATTGGTGTATTGTGATGTGTAGTTATCTGAAAATTAAATTTGGTAATTGCTGCGGCGTATTATTTGAAATAAATGTTTTTGGCATTGTGCATCTTCAAATTTGAATGAAGTGTGCTGTGGTTCTGCCAAATGAACTAAACAGCTGTTTTGCTGTTACATAAGAGCATTCAAGAATCATGAATCCAATTTTCTCCTGCAACCAGCAGGAGGCAAACAAAGGCAAAGGCTCGATGCAAACAGTACCAGAACATGTTCCCAAGCCGTGCTGAAGCTTGAGCATTTGATTTGAAGACGAAGATCTAATGATCATGAGCAACAACTCTTACATTCAAGATCTTGCCAATACAGCATATTGCCTTTATAATTAAGGTTCAATGATCTGTCTTTCTGATACCGTACATCAACATACATATATAACATACTACATACATTCCTCTTCCTATACATGCCAAGTAAATTGCAGGTATTTTCAACTACAAAAGCGCGCCTGAGCATCCAGCGATATCTTGCATCCCTTCCTCTTTGGGTCCAGGACGAATCAACCCGATAGAAGCCACCTCAAATACTCAGTTCCATCAGCATGAGCAGGCCCTTCATCAGGAGCGGCTACCCTCTTCCGCATCAAACTCTCAACGGATACAGGTTTCCTCTTGCGCCCACCTAATGAACGTGGTCGCTGCTCATCAGCCTCGACAAAATCACCCTGCAAACCATTGACGGGAAATCATAAACATCCCCCTTGCAAGATGCATTTCTGAAGGAGATAGCACAATGTACGATTTCGAGAAAATTGTTATCTGGTGATCATTTGTGGTACCTCAGTGTGCACGTGAGCGCTTGACTTCTCATGATTGTCCCTTACATGCTTGTAAGAAAACCTCTTGCCACACCCAGAGAATTGGCACACAAAAGGTCGACGCTGCTCATGGACCGCCTTAACATGCTTGTCCAAATTGGATTTCTGCAGTTTCAAGTTCACCAAGAATGAATAACAGTGTTTTCCCTGATAAATTCGACGGAAACAAACCATAAGAGAATCAAATAGTGTTATGATTAGAAACCACACCTTTGAAAATGAACATTTGCAGTCCTCGAAGTGGCATTTAACCCTCTCAGTGACACATGAACCTTCATGCATCCGGTGATGGCGCTGGAAATTCTTCTTTAGCTGTTTAGTGCCACAGATATCACACTGAACATGTTGATGGCAGGATTGGTTATGCGCTTTGAGGCATTCCACGTTTGAAAAGAATTTCATGCAGCCTGGTTCACAGCAGATAACTTCTGTGTATTCCAGCTTGACTGCGCACCACAAGTACCAAAAGTTTATCACGGCAGAGAAAATACCATCAACGTTGATAATAAGCACTTGTATACATATTATTCTGCAGAATAGACGAAAGCATGCACTGAGGCAGAAGATTAAAATAATCATATCAGAAAGACAACATTTTGGTAAAGACTAGAGAGTTCATATTGATAAACTCAGCTCAGAGCATGGCATAGACCAGAACTACCTACTACAAATATATCATCAATATACTATATCAATTGGGCTTTCAAAGTGTGCAATTTAAATTGAGTATAAGAAATATGGAAATGGCTGTAAAGTGTGTTTCTCACCATGTGATTCTTCGTGCTTCTTGAACTTGGAAGCATATTTGAAAGTCTTCCCACAGTTAACCTCTGGACAGATGAATTCTTTCTTACTTTCACAAGGAGAGCCATCTTTGTGGATTTCCTGAACATGTCTCTGCATATTACCCTTGATATTGAACTTTCGGCCACATCCTTCAATAGGGCACACAAATAGTTTTCCTTCATGAGTAAGTAAATGTCTGTTCAAATGATCCTTCCTGCTATAGCTCAAGGGGCAACCATCAACGGTGCAGGAAAAGGGCCTCTGCAGTAGTTTTGGAAAGACATGTATCACAATATAGTATGAAAGCAAGGTTTACTAGAAATAATGTAATAGAGCTGCAAACAGTACCACAGAGGGCAACTGAGCATGCTATAACATGAGCTTTAAGTAGTGTGAAAATAATAGAAGATACAATTATAAAAGGACATGTAGATAACAACATAAAAGGAAATATTAAGAATGAGAAGGCTGAAATGAAATGAGCAAACCTGAAGAAGCGTGAACAAGGCCACTCTTGATGGAGCTTCTCAGGACGGTCTCCCGATCCTGATACTAGTCCATTCAAGGCCTTATCGCATTTTGGAGTTCTTTGGGATCCAATGCTTCACGCATTCATATGTCAATAAGTAGGCTGCAAAAATCAGCAAATCAAATGCCATACAACAATCCAACTAAAAACAGGGCTGAATAGGAACTATATCTTATCCGCAGAACTCACTTTCAAATGATAATTAATTTGGTTTTTGCATCAAATGTATCATTCCACTAAGGAAGATTATGATCCAATCATTTCAGTGAACACATAACTAAAGCTGAGCATATAAGCTACACAGAACAGGAGTTGTGTCTCTATATGCCTGCTAAATATATCCCGTTTACTATTTGATAGCGAGGCCATCAAGTGGTGACAGCTATATATACTCAAACAGCATTGCAGCGTCAATCCGTGAGTTATCAAATATAAAAAAAAAACAGCAGACATCCCATGCTGAGACTAGACCTTTAGCATATGCCATGTAACAGCAAACATAATAACAAACAGAAAGCAGCTCTGAACAGCACAGAATAGACAACCTGAAGAGTAGCGTGAGCGGAGGCACTCTTGATGGAGCTTCTCAGGAGGGTCTCCCCATCCTGGTACTGGTCCATTCAAGGCCTTCCCACATTTTGGAGTTCTTTGGGATCCAATGCTTCACACATCCATATCTGAACAAACAGACTGCAAAATCAGCACAATTAATAACACAATGGACTAAAAATGTCCATGAGATAGTCATCCACAGAACCAACTGTTATAGCAGGTTTATAGCAACCACACCAAAAGCCAAAAGAGCATGTAGCTTGCATTTCGGCCTTTTCTTACACAAAAAACATTAAAGTGGATAATAACAAATCAGGTGAGCACTACTAGCCTGAGCATTCACTGAGCATATACCATAACCCAACATAAGCCAGATCAGTACCTCGAGCGAATGGCTCTGCATATGTTGCTTCAGATGTGCCGGCTTCTTGAAGCTCATCCCACACTGTTGGCACTGACGGCTAAGCTCTTTGCGCGGACCACCATCTCCACCTTCCCAGTAACCCCCCAAAGCATCCACCTCATCCTACACACACACACCCCATAAGTGTTACCCCTATAGAACAATACAAAGAAGAACGCGCGCATCTCTGAAGTCTCAACCAAGCGACGGCGAGCGAGCGAGCTAGCAGCACCGCTGGTACCTTGTGGTGCTCGAGCACGTGGGCGCGGAGCAAGCACTTCTTGGACCGGACCACGTCGCAGAACCCGCACTTGTGGCGCCTTATATCCCTCAGCGGGGCCGCCGTGGTCGCCCTGCCGCTGCTGCCGCCGCTCTCTCCCCCTTCCCCCATCTGAGTGATCTGAGTCTGACTACCCAAAAAAATCACAACGAAATAAACAAAAATTGAGATGGGATTCCCAGAATTAGCGCCACGCGCAACACCAAACGGAGGAAACTGACCTCGAATCGCGGAGGGAGGCGCGGGATCTGCAGAATCGCCCGCCGCCGCCGTGGAGAGGGAGGTAGCCGCCGCGCAGGAGAAAAACCCTCGACTCGCGAGTCGCCAAGCGTAGTGGCGAACAAGCCGAAGACAACCACTGGCATATGGGCCTGATGAGCATTGGGCCCACCTTGCAGGGAAGCCAAAGGCCCAAAACCATCACCACATCCACAACCACCAGTATCGGGTTTGCTAACGGGTTACGGATCCCGTTGCGGGCGGCGCACGTGCGCTCCGTTTGGGTGGGGTGGGCTGCCTACCGGCTACCGCAGCCGGTGTGGCTGAGTGACCTCCGCTCCGCCTCCACCCGCGGCGGTACGCTCCCGAGCTCCACCCGTCGCGCCCCCGACCGAGCTCGTCGCCCGCGATGGCTTCCGCGGTGGCCGCTTCGACCGCCACGCGGTTCCTCCCGCGGCTCCCGGACCCGTGGTGGCCGCGTCGTGCGCGCGCAGCGCTCCCGCCGCTCACGTGGCGGCCTCCCGCGGTCACGGTGGTCGCCGCGACGTCCCGCCCTGGGGAAGCGGAAGGTGGGCGGCGGGGGAGGACGCGAAGGCGGCGCGCCAGGGGGGCGGAACAGGAGGAAGGCGTCTCGCTAAGCTCCGGTGAGCCAGCCAGCCATGGCCCATGAGCGCATAGTTTGGTCGCAACATCAGAAATATGCAGTAACTCGTGACGAATTTTGTACTCAAGTTCTTCAGACGGGGAATTCCCATGTTTGTTTGATGATTTGATTTCTAAGCATAACGTCCAAGTGATTTTACCAGAGACCATAGTCCAGAGCAAAGCATCTGCTGAGTTCATTTCTTGTGGTTTCATGAGATTACTCGTTCCTCTCTGCTAGCTCACAGTGGATATTTATGCAGAGAAGGAGACGCTAAATTCTACTCCACGCGCTCAAACCAACAAGGGTGCGGAGCCCGTACCGGCATCCAGCACGAACAGGAAAGGTGCCATTAGAAGGGTGACACTGGTGGTCAGTTTCTTCTGTCTACCTACCATTTTGTTGATTCAGCTTGGAGTTAGTTCTATGCATGGCGCTAATATATTGGGTTGGTTCAGGTTCTTGCTGCGGTGGTTTTTGGAGTTAGCATTGCCTTGAGGGACGGGGCTGAGAAGGCATCAGAGTATTTTGCTGGGTGTGTGCTATGCGTATCCCTTTGTATTTAGCATCGACACTGTTTTACAAAATGGTTATAAGTTTGGCTCCTTTTTGCATTAGGATTTCCAGGATTACATTACATATGAATAACAGCACAGTTGAGAAGCACACAGAACTGCATATTAGCTTTAACTTGTGTTCGTTTTCAAATGGATCCTCCATTGTTTTGTGCAAGTTAGTTTGGTTGCTCCTCATCTTATCGTACATCTTGTTATTTCCTTCTTTCCAATAATCACTTACATTTAAATGTTAGTATTAGTTTGTATACTTGAAGATGGGTTTAATTTTATGTGTTTATAACATGATCAATCATGACAACGCTTTCCTTAAACTCTATGCATAACAATGTCAATGTAATCTTGTCCTGTTATCTAACAGGTATTTATTGGAACAGAGTTTGTCGGTGGACAATCTCTTTGTTTTTATTCTGGTCTTTAAGTATTTCAAAGTGCCAAATGAATACCAGGTATGTCTCATGGCTATTGCGACAGTTGAAATTCAAGTCAACTTTGTGCCTTTTCTCATCATTTCTGATGTCTGTAACCAGAATCGAGTACTTTCTTATGGTATTGCTGGAGCTGTGATCTTTCGGGCTGTGATGATCATCTTAGGAACAGCTACCATCCAGGTTGATTGTTCTCTCATACTGCTGTTGGTTATGTTTTTCATTTATCATATTATATTGACTGTTACAGTCTTCTAATTTTCTGTAGAAATTTGAGGCAGTGAACTTGCTGTTGGCTTTGATCCTGTTATTCACTTCTTACAAGGTAAGACTGTTTATTTTCACTAAAAAAAGATGGGTCACACTTTACTTTAAGCCCCTTTTGGTAAACTTGTTATTTTACCATGTTTAAGATTAGCATAATAGTGGCTAGCATGCACTGTTAACTTCATGAGAATGGTAAACTCGTCACTTTTTATTCCAACTTAAAAATGATCTACTTGTTCATTTCCTGCAATTACTCTTTTGGCAAAAGCAAAGTCCTGTCTTTTGACAGCTTCAACGAATGCTTGTTTCTAAACTACTCAGTGTATTCCTTCTATCACTTAGTAGTAATATCAATATACCATAATGGCATGCTTCTTTTCCGGATCTATTCTTGTTCCACCTGTATTGTTACATTTCAATCTTATGCCTATGTAAGTAAGTTAACCCTCAGAAGAAAAAAAAAACAGAAAACAATCGTCACACATATTCCCAATTTATTTCCACTTTTGTGATATTGGAAAGTCTCTTCAAGATAGTCGTGCAGAGCTTCTTTAAGTGACTTCGAGATATTCAACAAGGGCCACAGCACTAATACTTTAGTCTTAACATAATGGCAGCTATTTGCTGCTGAAGAAGAAGAATCTGATCTATCCGACAACTTCATTGTGAAAACATGCCAAAAGTTCATTCCAGTCACTGGTAACCAACTTTATCAATGATTTTCAGTTTTCCTTACCTATCTGCTATTTAGATTATTAACATGATCCATCGTTCACTCCAGATTACACAGCTAAAATGACTTCAATTACATATCTTAGAAGTTATTATATTTAGGGGTTAGTAGTATTCAGTAATTACATATCTTCATGTCTAGTTGAGCTCATTCCCATGTTTCTTCTGTCAGATTATTATGATGATGAACAGTTTTTCACAAATCAAGATGGTTTATGGAAAGTAAGTGTTGTCCATTTTAAGCTGGATCTTTACTAAAGCTACCATGGAATGAGCTTTGTCCTGGAATATGAATTTTTTATCCGTTCCCAATCATTTGATGTGTTAATATTTCAGCATTCAGTGTTATGTTTCTGTTCACACAACATAGATGCATGGTTGTGTGGACAATTTAAAAATTTTCTGTCTTCGTAAAGTTATATATTTTCCTGAAGATGCAATACTTCTTTTGGTTAATATCTGCAGGCTACACCATTGCTCTTGACTTTGGCAGTGATTGAGCTGAGTGATATTGCTTTTGCCGTAGGTTCCTTCCAAGCTATTTTCATGTGCAGTTCTTCCTTTTCTATTTTATTTTATGACTCCAGGTATAGGTATTAACATTCCTGTTATACAGATTGACTCAATACCAGCAGTTTTTGGCGTCACAAGGGATCCACTTATAATACTATCATCAAATATTTTTGCTATTGCTGGTAAATATTCTGCCTTTTTATGTTGCAATCTTAAATTTTCTTTATGCTTGATCTAAATCTTGTGTGTGGTACAATTTCTGCACTTCTAAACAATGTCAAAACTAACTTGATGGAAATATTGTTATGTCAGGTTTGCGGTCGCTTTATGTGCTCATTTCTGAAAGCATGGGTGAATTGGAGTATCTACAGGTGAATATCCACAGTCCACTTTCTTTTTTAAGGTTTATTGAGCTATTTTCTATTTACCTTTCGAAATTGAATATTTATATTTTATCTATTTTCTTCTGTTATCTTACTTTAGAACAAAAAAACAGCTATTCACGTGCCTGAACCTTGATTGCTTCTGCTGGGTTTCAACTCTAGCCTATCTCAACTTGTTTGGGACTTAAAGGCTTTGTTGTTGTTGTTGTTGTATCTTACTTTAGAACAAACAAATCATTCAGGTTTACATCACCCATTGTGAAAATTAGGTCCATGTTAGTGGTAATTGGAGGTATTGGATATTTGTTGTTGACTAATATCCAACACTATCAGTTACCACATTGCAAATGTGAATGGTCAATGCCCGAGCAGGTTCATATATTGTTCTATGATCTAACTGCACCATTTCTATTGGCAATTTGCTCTCCAGCCTGCCATTGGTATCGTGTTGGGCTTCATAGGGACAAAGATGATCTTTGACTTTTTTGGTGAGCAATTAAAAACATTATCTAACTCTTATTTTGTCACATTCATATTCAATACGTTCACCTAATGTTTTGATCTCCTTTTTAGCAGCATACAAAGTGACATTGCTGTTTTTTAAGTGCTTTTGGTCTCATCTAACTACCGTTTTCCACTTATGGCAGGTTATCATATACCAACAGAAGCTTCGCTTGCTATTGTAACTACCTGTCTTAGTGGAGGCGTCATATTAAGTCTTAGGAAAGCATCAAAAGAGGAAGGGGACAAGTAGACTGATGCAACAACACATGCAGGTAAAAGGAATGGATCAGCTTGCTCCATTTTTTTTGGCAGATAGTCAAGCTACAAAAGAAATTTTAATATAATAAACACTTAGAAGCCAGGTAGACATACCCTTTTTCACTAAACTAATTACTTGTATAAAAGATCTAGCCTGACAGAATATGTTGTGATCTGTATATGTAGTCTTAGCTAATGCCTTGTTCACTCAAAATAGATACAATAGTTTCTTTATGTTCTACATTTGAGGTAAATTTAGGAGCCACCAATAACGAGGTCAAAACTATACTGATTGCCAAGGCCACCACAAAATTGCGCTCTTTAGATGTTTCCATTCGATTAGTATCATCTGAACAGTGAACACGATACCATCCAGTGATTCCAGTCCCACAGGTTAGCTGCACATGACATTGTGCCTGTAATGCCTCCACAGGGTTTGCCACGTTGTTATGAACAGGATTGCCTGAAGTGTAGTTTGGGGATAACCTTGCCAACCTTTTTGCAGTTCTTTGACTTAGCATATAGCAAAATTGCAAAAATAAGGAAGCGTCTCAAATGGGTTCATTTTGAGCTTTAGCGTTAGGGTTGAATATCATCACCATGGCTTAGGGTGCCACATCATACTGTAACCCCTGCATCCCCTCACATAGAGCATCGGATTGCTAATAAGCATTTAAGTCTTAGTTATGGCAAATTCTAGATGTGTCAAGTGACAACCATGTTTGAAACCGATGGGGACTTAGGAAAACTATCATTGCTCAGAGTTCTACTGAATTTCTTTTCTGCCTTTTCTCTCTGGTGTTTTCCAGATCATCAGATTCGTCCTTTTTCTCTAGAGGTGTTCAGATTCATCAGTTGTTCTCATTGCATCCAAGTCCAGTAGTTAATTCCCAAATTGTGCATCATTCATGCCATATGTATTTCCTTTTGAATATTCGTGGTGTGAATCGTGAGAAAAAAAAAATGGTCCCAAGGAATTATCCAACATTCCTCCTCGTCAGACTTTGCATATCTAACAAAAATGCTTTAGTTGGCTACATACCTTGCTCTCTTCTGAGTGGAAATCTTGATTCCTATTCTACATATAGTGGCACTTACATCCAAACTGTTCCTTTTTCCCTGGTGCAGTTTGGTTCATTCACTGTTCAGTTTACATGAACAGAGGCAGAAGGCCTTGCAGGCACTTGCAATCTGCGTAAGGGTTGCGCTAGTGGTAGCCTCCACCACTTAGCTGACTGACTGACTTGAAAGCAATTTAGCTGATGGCTGTGATCTCAGTATAGAATCGCAGATATGATCAATGCATGGCATGGCAATGGCATTGGTGCCTGATCCTAATCTGGACGTACCATGAGCTTGCTCTGAACCCAAAGATTTTGAGGCCACGTTATGGTGAGTGGCCCTATTGAAGACTGCAGCATGAAGAGCTACGATTCCCCTCCTTGTAATGTCTGTTTCTTTTTAACCTAGCACATACAGTATATTCTGAACACGATTGATTTGAGCCTTGATTTTACAGTGTATCTCAAACAATGATATGACGTATGCTCAAGCTTTCTACAATACAACTGTATGAAATTTAATCATTATATTTCATTCTTGTAGCTAACGCTTTTTATGTGAGATGTCAAATGAATTTATCCTCTACGCATGTAATGTAGGACCATATGTGTGTAATATTCTGAGATTCGGCCCCTCCAGTATCATTCAGACATCGGAACTCTGATATTAAGTTTCCAGAATTAGTCACAGAAAAAAGAAGAGCGGTATAGCACAAGGATAAGTTCACCAAGGGAAGTAGCAAACCAATTGTACTGAGAAACTGTTTATGATCACACTGAAACCTGAAAATGCAGAATAACCACCAGCCTTATGCAAGACTTCCCAACTTATATACAAATTTACGAGAGCTAAAGCGACTTTGTTGATGACATAATCAGCCTATTCGGTTTGCTAGTTAGATACAAATTTGTTGGTTTGTGAAGAAATATTGGCTGGTTTGTGTGATGACAAATTTAATCATTTACGAGTTAAATAAACAGGCTGAATATAGTTAAGTGACACTAATCATAGAACCATGATAAGCATGACTGCATAGGCTCAGACCTTTGAACCATCGACTTCAGCAGCGTAAACCTGGCCATATTCACCCTTGTTGTCATCCTCGTCCAGGTAGTCAGCCCTTGCATTGAGGGCCAGCATCTGGCAAACAAGCCAGAAGAGAGCAGCGTCAAGGGCAAGGAAAGCAGCACCACCAAACAGGCCGGTCTTTGCAGTAGGGCACTGGTAATTCATGTCGTGGTGGATGTTCTTGCTTCGGTGAAGTCCCTCAGTGACAGTTGCCCACAACAACATTGCAAAAGCCAGGGCTGAGACAAGCCTGATTTCACATAAAGGGGACAGAATCAACAATGTGCATCTTTGTTACTACAAAGAGACTAAAGTGCAGAAAATAGCATGGTGCACATGTACTCATTCAAAAATAGTTATACAATGGCATTAATGGAAACAAAATATTGAGCTCATATGCCAAAATTCTAAATCATCAGTGCAAAAAAATCATGATACAAGATTTAAGCATGATTATTAGCACTGATTAATGCGATAACCGATAAAAATAATTAGTTCTCTGTGATCTTCTTGAGTGGAAATTCTACATTATTAGCATTGATTAACAATACAGAACAAATTAAAAGATTTCAGGGTCCAGGAAAGAGGACAATTCTAGAATGCAAAACTTAGATGGGTCAGTTTGCAGCTCAATATCCCAAATGGTAGGAGGGCTTGACAAGTGAACCACATAATAAAAGAAAACATAAGAATACAAGGCATATTGTTTCCAGAGCACAGGGACTCTTAGTCATATAGCTGAAAGGATACTCACTCAGCAACAACAAAGAACACTGTCAAGCTGGTGCTTTGAAACAGTGCTCCACGAGGAACTGACTTGCCCGAGTATGGAAAAAAGATAGCAACATGGCCCACAATGGCAGCTACCACAAGTGCCACAATGGACAGGCTTCCCATTGCAAGAGTTGGATCACTTGGAAACTTGCAGATGACGACATCCTTTCCTGGGATAGGAGTCCCAGAAGCAGGCTGCAACAAAGACGGTATAAATTTACAAGCATGTTTATAAAAAACCATAGCAACTATATTGGTTGAAAGATAGAAGACAGTAAGCATAAGCTATGAGCTGTGCCATAATTTTATGACTTTTTGCCTATAGTGCTACCGTGGTTCCAACGCAAAACTTGAGGCTGAAGAAAAACTAGTGCAACGAGAAACAAGAAAGAGGAATCACCTGCAGCTATTCACATGGCGATTTCTCTATTTTGTTTCTCCTTGCATAAATTTATACTAAGAAGATGAAATAGGGGCTCTTTACCCCCATTTTCATCTTTCTTAATACAAAGATATGCAGCTATCCTGTGTGTTTGTGTTCAAGAAAAAAGTCTTTGTTCACAGCTTAAAACTGTGCATGATGATAGATGTTTGCGTGCTCTATCCATCCATATTTTTATATGCTACTGTGTGTTGGTAGCACGGTAGCACCAGATATGTTCTCAAAGTAAACTAGATGCAATACAGTCCTTATGTGTGGACTGAGAAATCGCAGTAACTGTTATTAGTAGCAATTATGATAAAGTACAAGTACCAAGGTTGTGGAAAAATTTGTGTCTCATTTATGTTTCTCCTTGCACAACTTTTTGTTCAACTGAAAATTTTGCATGACGATAGATGCCTGCGTGCTATATCCATCCATATCTTTGGATGATTTTTTTTTCACATTTACAGGTGTCACCGTGCGTTGGTAGCACTGGATATATTCTCAAAGTAATCAAGATACAGTATAACCGTGATGTCCGGACTGGGAAATTTCAGTAAATGTTATTAATAGCATCTATGATATAGTACTATGAATAAGGCTATTAAGATGACTTGCTCACAGTTCAGCAGCGAGAAATCTGCCTAAACTTGCGCTAAATTGATCATCCTTGACAAGGAAAAGGAAAAGCATAACGATCAGTGCTCATATAACAGGAAGAAAAGGGCAGACCTTTTTGTTTTCGGCGATGACGCCAAGCACGAACGCCAGAATCCCAAAGAACGCGACGATGAGAGAAATCCGTAGCGACGCAGACAGAGCCATTGCTCCTGCACGACAAGCAAACGACCCACTGGGATCATCAAACCAAATGCTTAAGTAATTGAATGCAGACAAAATGTCACAACAGCGTGCCAGCAACAACGCATTGGAAACTCCTCCCCCACAGGTTACTTACTAGGTAATTTCAGACGAAACAAGTGTTTTGTTTATTTTATGGTGACTGGGCACGTCTCTGTCCTATCGACAGACTGCGGCACTCACAAGGTGAGAACTTTATGAAATTGACAAGTTTCTTGTATCGGTTTCCTCTACGGACAGTGATAGAAGGTATCCCCTTTCAGAACGGTGATTGAGCCAGGAATTAAATTGGGGAAATGCAACCGACGGATCGATTCAATCTATTCACTCCCAGCAATAAGTCAACTACACTAGTGAAAAGTAACTCCCGGATGAACCATCATCAGGTCATGACTCATGACCCATTGACCCTAGAGGACAAGCAGATTCAGTTTCCATCTCCAACCTGGAGAGAAACCAGGGGAAGGGGAATCCACAGGACAGGTTCAGTCCAGTTGAGACCCCCACAATTGAGGACGCAGCTGCTCCTCCAAACAAATTCGCACCAGACTGGGCGGACTGGAGTATCGAAGATTTGGACGTGAACCGATTGCTAGAAGAAAGATCCTACGGAGGAAGAGAAAACGCGGAAGACATCGGCGGCCCATCTCGGTAGGTGGCTAGATCCTTGCGGACGAGGTGGCGGAGGGAAGGAAGAGTACCTGGACGTTGGTAGGTGCGCCCGCTGGGGAGGTCCTCTCCTCGCTTCCGGAGTGGGAGCGGCGGAACGAGGAAGATTGGTTGGGCGGGGATGCAAATGCAGAGGAACGGGCGCACGGCCAAGACGGTTAGATAGTTGTTACGGTTAGATAGTTGTTATTAATATTTTTTTTTGTGTGTGTGATATTTTTATTGTGTGTATAAGTTGGTTTCGTGTGGCTATTTTCGACTTTTTCCATGGGGAGGGGAGATAGTGATAGACCAGAGAGAGAGAGAGAGCGCGCGCGCGCGCGTGTATCTAGACGACGCTTGCGTCTTGTTTCTACTATCATTTTGACTTTGAAGATTTGATTGTTTTTTTCTGTTTGCTAATTCAAAGATTCGATATTGATTGAGGGGGAAGTATTTTCTTTTCATGAAAAATAGAGCCTATTATATGAGTTAAATGAAAATTGTTGCATTCAAAGTGTTTTCTACTCCTTTCTACAAAACGTAATTCTCTTTTTTTTTTGAGAAATAAAATAATTTCAAGTTTAATCAACTCTATACAAAAATATTAACATTTTGATATTCAATAAGCATAATTAGATTAATAATGAAATATATACTTTATAATAAATCTATTCGGAGACATGAGGTATGGTGTTTTTTTTTTTAGAGGAAGTAAGTGAGAACATGGATGTAGTAGGTGGTCGCAATGGACAACCATTAAATCCTAAGGCTCACTTTGGAAGCAAGGAGGAGCAACATCCAGAGATGGAAAACCCGCCACTAAGAACTAAGATAATAATTAAAATGATATCCTCATTGATTACCCTCCGAGGGAAAAATCCAGGATCCTGCAGAGATTGGAGTTTCTAAATTAGGTCTAAAGGATGAAATTAAGGGGTTATTTGGTTCTCTAGCTGCTTCTCAAAGAACCTTGCTCAGCTAGAATATGAGAAGAGTTGGTTGGTAGACAAGCTTGTCTCGAGCCTTGTCATGGCAAGGATGTTCTTTGCTACCACAGGAGAGCCAATCCAGCTTGCCAAGGCTAGCAAGGCAAGGCGAAGCTTGCCTAGGAACCAAACTGACCTAACTGTGTGAAAGAATTACACTAGTCAGATATTGTAGATAGCCACCGCATTATGTGTCTGTCTAGGTGCATGACTATCGGTTATCTTTTGCGAACTGAGGTTGGGTTCTTCGTGGTGGAACAAGTCCATCTAAATTCAAGTCCTCAACTCGAAGTGCATGCTCGTATGTTTCTAAATTTATTTAGATTTAACGGTGTTGTTCTTGCAGTAGTGAGCAATGTGCCCGTGGTAATTTCATGAGATTCATCGGTTCAGTCTTTAGAAGTGCTCATATAGGAATAGGGTGTGTATTAATAGGGCTGAGTGTGTGTATGTGTTTGTATTGTGATTTCAAAAAGAAAATCACTTATATTTTAGGAAAAAAAGTAGAAGATAGTAGTAAATGGAGGAGCTTCTTCTACCTTTCAACTAAGATAAAAAGAGAGGGTGTTAACAAGAGTTCAACTAAGATAAAAGAGAGGGTAAGTTTGGTAGAGCTTCATCTCCTAATTGTTGAGCTTCACTCTTTGTTTCTTTTTTTTTTGCCAATTATACTAGTACATACGCTTAACTCGTACGCACACTCACCCCTATGAACACACGTACGCAAACCCTACCCCTACCCCTATGAGCACGTTCAGAAGACTGTGCCGGCACATCTCGAGATTGACGAAGTTACCACAAGCGCCTCGCTAACGACAACGGGAACGTCGCCTACCACTGAAAGCACAACACCGTTAAATTTTGGAATAAATCCAAAAAATGCAAGCATCTATGCCAAGTCGAGAACTTAAATCTGGGTGAACAGAGGTTCCACCACAAGGAACCTAGTAACCAACTGAGGGCTCAGTTCGCACTCTTTGATTCTTTGGTTGAGTGATTCTAGTGGAGGTGCAGGTAAGAAATGTTTCTATAGTGATTCTGGTGGTGATTTAACGAGGAGTAGTGAAAAACGAGTTTTTTTAGCTCATAACCAAAGAGTGTAAATGGAGAAGTGATTATTAACAGTCCCATCAAAACAAATTATTACATTTTAACCATTTGGCATATGACTTCACGATATTCGCTCCGAAGAAGTTGGGACTCTACTAAACTGGACCTAATAAAAAGCTCCCAAACACACGCACTCTTAGTTGCTAGAGAGGGAACAAACAAAACCTGATATTTTATTTCAAAACACTGAAAGCCCTCTTGGGTTTGGTCAATGCCTTCATTAACCCTCCATGCCACGATTTTTTTTTTAATTTTAACACTTTTTGAAAACTAATTTTAAATTTAACATTGTCTGTTTTTTTAAACTAACACTTTTGGCCGCGCCTATTGCCCTGGCGTGGCCAAATGCCTGTGCCGCGCCATGCATGGTGGCGTGGCAGAGGGCTGACGTGGCGGCGACCGGATTCGCTGACTGTTGACGTGGCAGGGCCTGCCGCGCCCTGATCCGTGGCGCGGCAGAGCCGAATAAAACCCCGCGGCCAGTCCCGCCTGCCCGGGCAGCAAGCCTGCCTGGCCACCGTGCCTGCCGCCCGCCCGGCGGTACCTGGACGGTTTAATCGAAACGCATCGCACCGATAGTGAGAGTTATTCTAAGTATTGCTTGACGTAAAATCAATAGTGTATTTGTTTCTGTCTTTTGTTGAATTTTTTTCACGGCCGAATAGAGAATTTGATAAGCCAATGATTTTTTCCGTCTTTCATAATGCGGTTAACAACCATGTTAACTAATCGATTATGAAAAATTGGATCGAATTGAAACGAATATTTTCAAGGGAACTTATTTATTTGGCTTTTTGGCCCCATATTATAGGATCGGCGACGACGCGACCATGGACCCCGGCTTCCTCGACCCCTCGCGCAAGACGCCGGCCACCGGCGTCAAGATACCCTAGGATTGCCAGTTTCCAAACTAGTTGCTACTTAATCTCGCATGTAGTGATGCCGCGACGTATTGAAACGAATATGAAGCAAATAAATGAAGTCCGTGTACAAGTTGACAAGCTGCCACATAATATTTTCATTGGTTTAACATAAGTTTAACATAACCTAATCAACTAAGCCTGCAAGTTTCGGACGTCAATAATAGTTCGACCTAACAAACTAAGACCCAGGAGTGTAAGGATCCATCGGACGCCTCTGTCTCTTCGGATTTGTTGGCAACACATTGGGAGTGTAGCCAACGTCGGTGTGGTCACGTCGCCGGTGCGTACGGCTCGTACCCTGCAAGTATATAATATGCACGATTACTTAGAATTCTTTATGATCGTTAGTTTATATAGCCTACGTATTTAAAGAAACTACTTTTGTTAGTACCTGTGAGGCTCCTTGGGTACCAAGTGGGGCACCACCTAGCTGAGACATGCCGATCTCGTCCTGCGGCCAATCGTCCCACTGGTCGTGATGTCTGCCGAAGCCCGAGGGGGTCGTTGTCGTCGTCATCGTCGTCCTCAGTTGCAGGGTCCTTTTCAGTGCTATGATGTGGTGGTGTACGCACCACGAAAGTGGCACCTATCACCGGCTGAGAAGAGCCGACTGGTGACCTCAAAGAGGCTGAAGACGTGCCACCCGACCGCGCCGGGAGTGGCGGTTCCTCATAAGGAGTGTCCATGCAGCTCAGCTTTTGAGCTAGCATCCTACGGCTCTTCTTCACCTTCTGCATAAATAGATATTAAAGTTATTGCATTTCCCAAACGCATATACATTAAAGAAACATTTTCAGAATGGACTAGTTTATGTTTACCTCTACAAAAGCCTCGAGAATGCCTGGCCCCTGCCCTCTAGACTCGTAAAGCCGGAACGCTGCTTCGTTGGACAGCCTCAACAATTGTGTCGCCTGGGTACAGAAACACGGTTGAACAGTTTTAGTATACATACTTAATACCAAATGGATAACAAATTATACCATTCAAGTATCTTACCACGTATCTTTGTAGCGGGCTCTCTGTAGTTGTGTGTCCTCTCTAGTGGCAACATCGTATCCTCTCTAGTGGCAACGTCGTACACATCTTCGATCACATCTTCCTCCGAGTCCTCGTTAATCACCTCCTTAGTGTATGGGGGCTTGATATGTGTCCTCATAGACCTATGAAGCCAGCGCAGGTACTCATCGAAGGTGTGCTTGGTCGTGTGGAGGACCCGCATGGACCGGCTGCCGTTCCCTGGTCTCCCACAAGTGGATGTGCGCATGTGTGTCACGCGCCAATCCTTGGTCTTGTA